ACAGGAGAACGAAAATTTCGCACAAGATTTCATAAACGCCCGCCTTCATGCCCGACTATTTTGACTTGGGCGGATCGTTTTGTTAGTTGAGAATACTTTAAAAAGAAGAATCCGGTCAGTGAACGTGAGAGCCTGCTGAAAATGAGGAGCTCATTGAAGCGATATGCTTGCTGTCTTCGAGAGCGACCCGCAATTATCAAGAAGACGAGCAGCCAGGTTGTTTGGATTTTCGTAAAAAAGCGTACGGTGGATTCTGCGGAAAAATAATTTGCGCCCGTACAAGATGGACGTTTTCCAAGCCCTGCACGACGGCGACAGCGTCCGACGTTTAGAATTTTGCAAGGCGGAGTTGTTGCGAATTAAGAGCAACCCAGGACACCTGCGATTTCTTTTATTTAGTGACGAAGCAAACTTTCACCTAGATGGACGTGTGAACCGCCAGAAAAGCAGGATATGGGCTCGCGATAACCCTCATGCCGTGGACGAGCGGCATCTCCATTCACCGAAGGTGACAGTGTGGAGTGGGATTTAGAGTGAAGGCCTAGTGGGCCACTTTTTTTTCGATGGCACCGTTAACGCAGATGCCTACTTGGACATGCTGAAAACGGAAATGCTCCCTGAGCTTGAAAGGTACCACATGACAAAAGAAAACTGTATATTCATGCAGGATGGGGCGGCTCCCCATAACGCAAAGAGTGTGAGGGCATGGCTCAATAACAGGTTCCCTCGGCGGTGGATGGGTCGGGGTCGGGGATCAGATTTTATGGACTGGCCTCCACGATCCCCCGACTTAAATATGTGCGACTTTTTCGTATGGGGATCTATACAATGACTTGTCTACAAGAAGAGGATCCCCAGCATCGAAGAGCTGAAAGAAAAAATTGAGGGCGCGTTCCTCGAGATCGACGATGAGATGCGCGAAAGGGCTTTCCTGGCATACGAAGCTCGACTTCGGCTTTGCGTGTCTGTAAACGGCGGGCACATCGAATCGGCCGAACCCTAGTCGTTTAAAGGGCCGCTGCAGCATCAACATTGTTTCAAATCGCCGTGACAGAAGAGGCGTATCAGAAGATATATTTTTCAAGAATAAACAATTGAATGAACACACAACTTCCACTTCCTGACGGAATTTAAACTGCTAGTTTCCCTCTTACTTTTGTCTCTCGTGCTACTTGCCGCGCGCGGAGAGCAAAGTAGAGGCTGCTGATAGAGGTACGAATGGGAAAAAAGCAAAAAGATGACTATCTCTCTAAATACCAGCCATTTTATCATCGGCCTGCCGAAATGACTCCAGCGCCGTAAATATTTCTCCAATTAATATGATTTCATTTTTTTTTTACAAATATGTTTTGCGAAACGTGTGTTAATTATATTCAAGCTGCATGAAAAAAAAATTACTTTATGTGTTACAGGGGCCCTGTAAAAATCAGAATGAAATGTCTGCAACGGTAGCAGCACCACTTGCTATTCCAGGCTGTAAATAAATGATCTCGCTACATCATGGTGTCTTTTTGCTTGCATGACGATCTGTCAAACCTTGACTTGAAACAGGCAATTTCAACAATCATTCGTATATTTCGTTCAGATCACTTTTTATCGCGATTATCTCGCCCGACGACAGCCTTTCGTGCGGCGTTTTCTGCGTTTTTGCGTTCAGGGCGCCACCTGGGAGCGGCAACGCGAACCAGATAGCAGACGGTGAACGGCGGGTATAGGCCATAGGAAATACACGTCTGCCATTTTTGTTATCTTTCTAATAATTCGCTACTCCCGAGTTGACGTCTGACAAAAATAGACAAAAAACTTTGGAATAAACGACGCTCGTGTGCCCAGTTTCAGGTATGTATGTTTGAAATTCGATTTTTGCTAGGCGTGCCAAATGTGAAAGTTTTTACGGCCGCACCCTGTACTCTCTAAAAAAATGCCCATGCGTCTATTTTCCCGCACAACACTCGGAGAGCTAATCACCTTAACTTACGGAGGAAGCTCAGCGAATGACAATGCCGAAACATATGTTTAGACCAAAAAACGTTGTATGAGTTGTGACATTAAGGAATGCAAAACGTCACGCTTGAATTGCTTAATGTCACAACTCAGACTGCGTTTTTTGGTCTCAACACACGTTTCGGCATCGTCAATCGCTGAGCTGCCTCCGTAAGTTGCGGTGATTAGCTCTCCGAGTGTTGTGCCGGGAAGTGGACGCACGGGCTTTTCTTTAGAGTGTATAATATCGCGGGTGGTTGGTATCAGTCCACAGTTGCACGCACTTGTGCTTCATGCCGGGTCGTGGCGCAGGGTCCCGGCGAAAGCTGCCTGACCAACGTCAAAGAGTGCGGCCGAGGAATGTTCTGCAACACCGCTAGAGCGGCGCGGCTCCTTCCCACGGCGGGCGTCTGCGTGTACTTCGACACCCAGTGAAGGAGAATAAAAAAAAGGCAGTTTGGAAAATGGTACGGTTGTTTGTTCACTTAGGCGGGGAAGGGGACTGCACTGGTATGCATCTTTAGTATGGACTCCGTTACTATGGATGCCTGCCTCGCTATATAATCACAATTTTTAGGGAAGAACTGGGTATTTACTTGCATTTTGGACAGACATTTTGAACAAGCTTTGGGGAAACAGATGTGTCCATATCGACGAGACAAACGTTGTGTATAATCTGGCTCGTAAGATTAAATAAAGTGAAGCGAGTGTTGGCGGAAGTCGGGGTAGGCAGAAAAGGAAAAGTGCACGCGCTACCATTTTTTTTTTCTTGTTGGTGCATTATTTCTACGTACTCTTACACATGGGATATTGCGGAAAAATCCCGGAGACGAAGGACGCAGAAAGGGGAACAACTTAACTCTGCAGTTAAGATAAACTTTCAGCCATGTTAGAGAGGTTGCGTTGTCCCCTATCTTCGTGTTGCAGGCTCTACGGCGATAGCCAAATAATGCTCGTAAATGCAGCCGATTGGTAGCGTGTGATCGTCGTCGGGGCTGAATGCAGCGGGGAAAGTTACCCTTCTAATTCTCGTCAAGGCGACGGTGTTAATAACGTGGAGATTTTATCTTGCATAAGTTACAGAACAAAGCAGCCTATCGGTAGTGGTGAACACATTTTTTTTTTTTATTAATATCGAGATTTTTGGCCCTGTGGTTGTCCTGTCGGGTCAGCTGATGTTTACCGGAACCGACAAAAAATAAGAAGGAATCGATAGACATATCTGGTCTGGGGAACTAACGGGGCACTGTATAGTTTTATTTTAAGCGTCCATGCATGATTGGCAGCTGAACAAAGAACAATTTTTGTGTCAATAACTGGTACTACACTCTGCACTGACCCGTGCATGGACTGGTGCGCTTATGCGTGGGTCCTGGCATGCGGCATTAACTTCAAGAGAAACGCAGGGAAAAGAAGAAAAAAAAGAAATGTAACGGAAAATCATAATTGCTGTAAGTGTAAACAGCGTGAACAACCGGATGAAAAAAATATATATATAACGCATATACTAACAAAAAAGTTAATTAAACTGAGCAGTAAAAAAAATTGCAAACCACGAGGAAAAACGTGTTATAAGGAACAAACATCTTGGTATAAGTTATATACCATCTAGGGCACATTATTTCTAAGCTCCCTAGTTACAAGTGCTAATGGTTCTAGATTAAGTAAACCCAAGGGTAACTTGTGGATATAACAAGCTATGTAATTTTTTTTCAGCCTTCTCCCGTAATTGTTCATTTTTTTTAAAAAACGTTGAATATTATTTTTGGTTAGTAGCTTGAATTTTGAATTAAGCTGCTAGAGTATTTAGTGAAGATTACGGATCTCAGTAGTTTCTCCAATGATAAAATATTCATTGTTGTAGCATTTGCTTTACCAAGTCAAGACTTTCTAGGCTTGTATTGTAGGCTTGACCCGTGAATAATGTTCTTCGTAATTTTTTAACAGGCTCTTTTTTTTTCTCACTCTTTGTGGTTTCGATTTCTTGGCTTAAATTTTATTTCAGCGTAATTACTCTCCTAAGGATACATAAATAGTTACATTCAGATGTCTCTTTCACTTCGTAGTTTATATAGGTACGCTGAGATTAAACGTTGGCGTTTTACCAGGTAATCTACATGCAAGATCCACGACAGAGGTTTCTACACAAAATCGTCTAAAATGCTTTAGCCGGCTACATAAGCTAAAATATTTATAGGTACATTGACGGCCGTCAGGTGAATGCAAGTTTGAACCAGCTAGGTTTTTTCGTTTTTTTTGCGATTTGGAAAGCACTAAATTTGTTTGCATAGTGTTGACAGATATGTGATTGTCCGAAAACCAGTTTATGAACATTTGGGTGTCTTCAAAATTGTTTTTGTTTTATTTAAAAATTCTTGCGGCAATATTAGGGCTGTTCCATATTGATTCATTTGTTTTTCTAGAGGTAACAGACATGAACATATATTTTTTGAAAACCATTGTGATTTAAGCAGGATGGCAGAATAACAAATACATAATACTTGAAAAACAACAACAATTAAACAAATCAGAAGTGCATCAAGAAAACCAAGATGAAGTCGTCCAACCAAATCACAGCAACAAACAATGCAGTGCACATTTTCTACTCATTTAAATATAAGTCCCCAAAACGTTACTGCAGGTACAGATTTACACATCACTTGCAACAGCTAAAAGAGGAATAAAGAACGAAAAAAGAAACATCACGCCGTTTTAGCGTAGACTATCTAATGATAGAGCAATATCCGGAGATGAAATAACAGAACAATGCAGAAACTTTTCAGTCGTCAATTCTGCCAAGAAAAAATGAATATTTAAACAGATTGGTCTGTATGGAGTATGGCGTTAAGGAATACTTAATATGGAACCTAGTTCTACTTCTTGCGAGCGATTTTATATAAGCTTGCTAATCCAGGGACAGCTTTTGGTTATAAAGTGTTTTGGTGTAGGAACTGGTTAGATTTTATTGTTGCTCTGCGCAAGCCTTTTTGAATGAACATTTGATACATCATACCTCGATATCGAAGGTTCTTACTGAAGCACCTTAAATTACCCTTCTTACTGTTGCGCTGAAGGCTTCCATTGTCTCCATCGATTTCAACCGCCTTAATCGGTCACCATTGGCAGTTATCGCAAAACAAAGCGCAGCTTTTGTTCCACATAGTCATCCATGGTGGCATTTTTGAAGTCAATGCTTAATGGGCGTCCCTCCTCGGCAAGCACTACAAACTTTTGCAGCAGCGTCGTCAGGTACATGAAGATCTCCATCGTGGCCAGTGGTTCCCCAGGACACATGCGTCTTCCTAAAGGAAATCACGGGCAAAATGTCGCCTGACTTTGACATCCCGTTAAGTGCGATAAAGGTGAGACAAAACTTGATAGGTTTCTAATGAGCAGCACCTTCTATCGGAATTTAGCAGGGGAATTGTGACGTCACATATCACGTGATACTCTGAGGTCACGTGACTCTACCGCCACATGACACTATGACGTCATGTAGCGTAACACCATGATAATGTATTGCTAATTTTTATGTCACGTTACCCGTCGACATGTGATGTCAAGTATCGTGACCACGTTACGTGACCTAAGTTACATCACTTAAATTACCCCTTTAAATTTAGTGGGGAAGCTGACGTCATGATTATTTGAAAGTAATGTCAATTTCCCCGCCAAAGCTAGAGGAAAATTTCATGACACTTGACACCCTGACGTCACGTGATATTGTGGCGTCATGCGGTCAGTTCAACACGAGCAAGAAATGCTCGTGAAAGTTCCCACGTAAAGCGATCGCTTTAAAGCGTGGAGTCAGTGTGGTTTGAGGCCTACACCGCATAGTTACTATACTATTTAAAGGGTTACCAACCTAATGAGAAGGAGATCAGGTGTTCCGGCCTGTCCAGGAGTCTGGATCCGTCCTCGCTGAGGAACCTCGACGGGTCAAACTTGCCGGGGTTCTCCCAGAGAGAATCGTTCATGAGCACAGCCCAAAAGTTGGGCATTACTACGGTTCCCTTGGGTATGATATAGTCGTTGAGAAGGATGTCTTCCCCGACGCTGGAATATAATCATAACATCCTCTATGTAAGCACGCGTTGGTTAAAGTCATTACGTTAACCTGTGACTGATGTAAAAGTATTAAATAGTAAGCGGGGCTTTGGCTTAGAAATAAACGCAGGCGCTTCACAGACTTTCGATATGTGACTTCATAACGTCGCATTGGCGTCGTAAAAGGAAAGTCACAAAGACGTTTCGCCCGGGGTTTCCTCTCTATATATGGCTCGCACTGACGTTCCATCGGCTGACATTGCGGTGGCAGAGTTGAAAAGGCCGTACCTTTTGCAGTTTTGCAGCATACATTCTGCAACATCGAATTCTTGGCATGAACAAATAGGAAAGACCATCAGCATGGCGCGATGACGTCGCGTGCCAGCCACGCATGCTCTGTTTCACCTTACAATGAACTGCAGCGAACGCTACGAGCCATCCCAGCCGATCCACAGAGCTGGGAACATATCAAGTGTCTGCGCACTCCCCGCGTCGCTCCGCCCTTCTCAAAGGTTGCTTGACACTCACATGGCATCGGATTGCTTTCGATCATTGGTCGCATGCTCTGCTGTTCGTAGTAAGATGAAGGGGAATATCGATACCCTATTTTCGCCTTCTGTGACAAAGCTCTGAGCGTACGCGAGTCTCACCTTCGCGGCAGGGTAGAGTTGGGTTTGCAGCGGTACATCTCCCAGAGGACAGCCATGGTGTACGGCATGGCCAGTCGGTCTTCCCACGCGGGTGGTCGGTCTCGGCCTATGACCCTGTCGATCTCCTCATGGATCCCGGCCTGCACCGTGTCCTTGCTCTGTGCGCAGTTGAGCATGTGCCAGTGCACAAAGGACGGCACCGAGTGGGACACCGCCATGTACAGGCTGACCGCGTTGCCGATCAGGTAGTTTTCTGCGGGGAACTCGGTGTGGTCATCAAGGAAAAGTCACGGGGTTTCTGTAGTCGTTATTAGAACTCGGTGTGTCATCAACGAAAAGTCACGGGGTTTCTGTAGTCGTTATTAGAAGTTACCTGACAAGCTTATTATATCGTAATAGTGGAAAGTGTTTCATCGGGTGCACTTTACATCTCTAGATGTAAAACTACAACGTGGGACTCCCTGAGGCATATGAAGGGAATAAACACGTCTTGGTGCTCTGTCGTAATACAAAAGCAAGAATTAAATGTGCTGAACTAAAGTGGCAAAGCGGGCGAGTTGGTTCATTCCCTATAAAATTAAAAGCGCTAGCAAAGACAAGGACAAAAAGGAAGGCGAAGGAAAGCAAGAATTAAATGTGCTGAACTAAAGTGGCAAAGCGGGCGAGTTGGTTCATTCCCTATAAAATTAAAAGCGCTAACAAAGACAAGGACAAAAAGGAAGGCGAATAGGATAAAGCGCTCGTCCTGTTTGCCTTCCCTTTTGTTCTTGTCTTTGTTAGCGCTTTTATTTTTTTAATATTAAATGTGATCTTAATCTTACTGTTGAGATTGGATTCGGAGCGATTTTGCTGTTCTTCCGACCTCTTCAAGTAAGCGCCAACGAAATCCTCATTTGCGGGGTGGCTCTCCTTTGCGTCTTCGTGATCCGTGACGTATTGGCTAAGAAAAAACAGTTATGGAAAAAACATTGTTAAATTATAAGTATATTAGAAGGGATAAAGAGGGCAGGCGAGGCTTTATTGGGCGATTTTGTTTAGGTTGCACATTGCATTATTGTTTAACAATTATTATGAGACTGGGATTATTTGCGACGCCTTTAGAAATTTGCTGCGTGAATCTCTGTATTAACAGAGATGTCACAAGTTAAGCAATTTAAAGTTCAAAAACAATTTATCTGTTACCCAACCGAACCACTAGGGATCGTCGAGATTAAGAGAACAAAAATCACCCGCAACCATTCCTAGTGTTTTTCATTTTAACTCTAATGACACTGCGCTTTACGTACATCGGTGTGCGCTTCCAGTAAATCCGTCAAACACTTTATTGATTATAGCAAGGCAAACTTCGATGTCATAAACAATGAATTAGCTGCCTACCTTAATGTGTTTTAGATAACTTTCATCAGCGCTCTGTTGGTGACAATTGGAATGTTTAAAGTCAAATCACTGATTGCGTATTTCATTCCGCCTAGCTCGATCACTTCGAATCCCGAGTCACCCTAGTATAATGCCACCCTTAAACGGCTCAATAAAGTAAAAATAAAAATGAATGGATATTTCGCTCTGCTAATATTTCTGGTCTCGGTGAGCGTTGGAAACCATGCCGATGAGCCACTGAATTTTATAAGACAAGTGTCCCGGAAGCCAAACTAACCTTCTTCAGTCATACTCTACCTTCTGTGTTATTAAAGAGTACGAAACAATTTTCGAATATTATAAATGGTGCAAAAAAGTCCCCCATGTTTCTTTCAAGCTAAGACGGTGAATTTATTCCGAATATTCAGTGTGCCAGTGTTGTAAATGACACATTTGTGAATTAGTAATTTTCTTAATTTTGGTTCTCGTCTTCCAGTGTACCCTCCCTGCAAGTTTATGCCTATGGGCCGTTTGGTATTCAGTAATGATGGTATGGTTAAACTAATAGAAAATCTAAAAATATCTTGTTGTGGTGTCGACGACATTAGATCTTAGTTTCTAGAGGATACCGAAATGTATAGCATTCTTTTTAAAATGTCTGGTCAACCACTAACCCCTGGTGCTCTTCGCGATGATTGAGAAACAGGAAACGTGATTCCGCTCAAAAATCAGGCGATAAACATAGTCCTTAAGACTATGTTTATCGCCGTTGTAGAATTATGGAGCATATAGTTTACTCTCACCTTGTTAACTTTAGTCATTTTCAAATTAATTATTTTCAGCCTCTCAACATGACTTTTGTAGATCTCCTTGCGAAACTCAACCACTGTCCTTTAATAACGATTGACTTTTCATTCTCGAATGAGAATCCCAGAGTGATTAACTTCGTTTTATTTCTGCTAAGCATTCGATAAAGTTTTTGATAAGCTTATACTTCTCAAACTTGGCAAACTTAACCTCAATTTCAATGCGAAGGTCTTATCTTGGATTGAATGTTTTCTAACAGATCGGTCTCAGTTTGTCATTACTAATCCAGCTAATTCTCACCTCAGTCCTGTAACCTGAGGTGTCCCATAGGGGACTGTCTTAGGCCCATTGCTATTTCTGATTTAGATAAATGACTTACCTCAGAACCTCTCATCCTCTGTTTCTCTGCGGACGACTGTGTTATCTATCGCGAAGTGACTAACGAATTCTATTCTCTTCTTCTTCAGTCCGAGTTAAACACAGTTATGGAGTGGTGTTTCGTATAGTGCATGACTCGTAACTCTAACAAATGTACAGCTATGGGGCATCCCCGACGTAACACATCACCATGTTCATACTATCTGAATTCCTTCGCCTTTGGGTTTGTGACTATTTACAAATAAGTTGGTGTCCACATTACCTTTAACATGTCATCGCAGACTCATAGTGATCATATAATCACTAGCGCCAACTCCATGCTCACGTACTTGAAATAAATTTCACATTAGCCCCCGTGTTTTTGAAACTACTATTATTTAAGACCCTAGTGTGTTCTAAATTGTAATACGCGTTTCATCAATCTGGAATTTCCGGTCAAACCACGCTCCACAAACCACGCTCCTGTATAACCCTGAGGGTGTCCAAAATCGTGGTGCACGTTATATTTTTTTTAACTATCATCGTACAGCCGGTGTAACGTTCATGAAATTTAATCTATATTTTCCTCTTCTTTCGTTACGTCGCAAGATATTTTGTTATTTTTGTGTTTTTCACAAAATGTACTGTCCTAAACCCGCTTTAAAAGAAAAGCTTCTGTTTCCTCCTGCGTATATTTTCCCTCGCGTAGACCATCAACTCAAAATAGGAATTCGTCCCTGTCGCACCAATGCTCAAATTGGGTCGTTCATTCCCAAAATATCTGAATGAAACTGCTTTCCCTCATATTTAGTGTCTTACCATACGTCGATTGATTTACAGTTTCGATAACCAAACAATTTTGTTAGTCCTTCACCACCCATGTTTTAATGTATTGTTTTTATACTAGACTTGTTTGTAATACCTCCGAGCCTCGAAAATATTGAAATAAAATAAAAAAATAAAAATAAAGGTAAGTAAAGTAGGCGAACAGAGGGGTATCTGTTCATTTAACACGAAGTTTGAATAAAACTATCACTTGCGAGAAAGCACCTTGTTGGTCCTCTCTTCCTCTTTTAGTTTTGTGCGCTTTTTATACATCTTGAAAACGGTATGTTCAGGCCCCGAATGACATCATCCAACACTCCCTAAAATAAAGAATAAAAAGTCACGCCAATAGTTTTAGTTTTAGCCGTACTCGGAAGCCTCACCTCCCGAGTTCAATTAAGTTTTGAACAAATCTCCGGAGAGCGACGCTCCTCGTGAACGGAAGTAGCAGGACCAGATGCCTCGCCCACTGGGGCAGCACCTCGATCAAGGATCCAGCACCCAGAGCCTTCGAGAACTTGTCCAAGTTCTCGACCATCGCCATTCCTCTGGGACTCGTGGACGCGTCGCGTTCGCCGAACAGCACCCTCGAAATGACATTGGACGCACTCGGAGTGAACTGCTTCAGGGTAACGATAGGCAAGCCATTGTTCTTGACGAGCTTTTCTACTAACTGCCGGGTCTCCTCCTGCGCAAACGCCAGAACGCAAAAGAAAAAAAAACGCTCAAATTAACACGTGGGAGCTGGAAAATTCTTGCCAAACACGAAGGTAAGAAATGAACTAAGACACGGCTGATTTTGCAGCCTGTGGGTGAAGTGCGCCGAAACAAATAGAAGGCGTGTTTAAGTAACTCAAAATGGACAGCGTTACGGGCGCTAGTTATCCACGACCACCGACGGTCCAAGAAACGCAGGGTGATGGGGAGTGCCGAGTATCTTGCTGCTCATCACCCAATGAAATTGTGGCGTTTGCCGATAGGAACGCATGAAGTAAGAATATATAAACAGAAAAGGTCACGCCCTGCGTTTTTTTTTTAAAGTTCTTTGTGATTATAGTGGGTTCATTATTTTTAATGTGGACAGCTGAACCAGTCTTTAAGGCAGATCCTTTATTGTTATTTGTATAAATCTTCTCTTTGCTTTCACGTACTTAATCCACAGGCTCTGAGTCAGAATCTTCGCCTATTTCTTAGCTTCGTATTTCTTTAAAATCATCCAGCGGTCCACAGAAACAAAGCATGAATAGGCTAGCTCATCTGAAGCTCGAAACACGAGAGTGCAAGCTTATTTTTGTACATACAACGCCACACCCACACACACAAACAACAAACAAAACAGCCATTTTTTTTTTTTTTTTTGCTTTAAAATAAATTACGCATTGCCGAACGCTCATTTCTATCCCAAATGTAGCACTAGCGGTCCAAACAAGGTGTCAAAGTTTCAGCGCTAACCGCTATCTCAATCCAAAGTTAGAAGCGATTTTTGTTTTAAATTTCCCTGGGAAAATTGGAGCTCGTTTTGCCCGTTTTTGGCAACTGCCGCCATTCAGCTCGATGTACACGAGAGCTCCGTCAGCCGCCATTTTCCCATTAAAAAAAAAAACGCTTAGTTAATATGGTAACGGTTAGTTCTGAAACTAAGCATCTGGTTCGGACAGCTAGGGCTCCAGCGTTCGGCGATGTGAAATTTTCTCTTGCAATAATAAAAAACAACTATATTTTTATTTTTATTTTTTTTTTGGGGGGGGGGCGGGGGAGGATATATTTTAAGTTCTGCTTTGAAAAAAAAACAAAAAAAAAACATTGAAGGCAATTGCGTGGTTTACAAGTACAATGCGTGTCGTAAGCTCAACCTATGCTTTTTAATCGCACTCTAAAGATTACTGATTATCCACTTTTTTTTTTTTTTTTCGGAAAACGTTGCACGCTGAGTACTACGGCATTTGGAGCATATACATTTTCCTGCCCGAAATAAACGTTGTGGCTAAATGAAAGTATGTGGTTGGACTGGTGAAGGCCGAGCGGGTTGACATAAATACATAAAATTGAAAGAATAAAACACGGAGGACAAGCACAGGACAACCACGTTCTTTCATTTACCTACGACGTTAATTTTGGGCAGGAACATTGCACGCTGAGCGAGACCCCTACTGAGATAGGGTGATAACGGGGAAGGCAGACTGGGTGGTGGAAAGGGTGATAAGGGAAAAAGAAAACTGGGAGATGAAAAGGGTGATAAGGGGGAAGGAAAACTGGAAGGTGGAAAGGGAGAACCACGAGGCACGGGCAGAGGTGATGCTGTGTTTTTACGGGGAGTGGCGATATTGTTTTAAGTTCAGGCCTAATGAATTCTAATTCCCGTCTTGATAAGGTTACTGAGGCCGATGAAACGTTGTTTTCTGCGTTCTGAATGAGAAAAGAGTCGATGATTTCACGTTCGTGACGATTGCGGTGTCCCCCTTTTGTTTTGGCGGCTTGCGCGCCTGACTTCGCAGGAACCAAGACAAAAGGGGGACACCGCAATCGCCACGGACGTGAAATCATCGAATCCTTTCTCATTCAGAACGCAGAAAACAACGTTTCATCGGCCTCAGTGACCTTATCAAGACGGGAACTAGAATTCATCAGGCCTGAACTTGAAAAATATCGCCACTCTCCGTAAAAACACATCATCGCGGTAGTTCTGCCCGTGCCTCGTGGTTCTTCCTTTCCACCTCCCAGTTTGCCTTCCCCCTTATCACCCTATCTTAGTCGGGGTCTCGCTCAGGGTGTAATGTTCCTGCCCAAAATAAACGTCGTTGCTAAATAAAAGAACGTGGTTGTCCTGTGCTTGTCCCTCTGTGTTTTATTCTTTCAATTTAATGCATGTGGTTATCCTCTGCTTGTTTTCCGCGTTTTTATTCTTTTGATTTGAAGCATATACAGCGAACGCAAGGAGATGACAAAACAGGTTTACTCAAAAACGTACCTTTTGTAAGGACAAAGAGTAAGCTTAAATTGAATTTTCAAACGAAACCCTCCATCATTTGGGCTTCACCGTTCGCTGGATACGTGCCGTAGATCGCAGCCGCTCTCACTTTTTGTTTCGCGATGAAGCAGATGTATCTGGAATTTCTTCGTAGTGCGTACTCCTGGTATCTGATTTGTTTCCACATGAACAGGAGGGAACAAAAATCTAGGAACACTCACCCTGACAAGACCCTCCATGCCTTTCTTTCCGAATCCCAAATCTCTCAGGATGCGCATGGAAATTCGTCTGTTTTCCAGCCACGCCGGTCCGTTAAGAGTGGCCACTCCTGAATTAATGCGCAAATAGAAACGAGAACTTCAAATTGCTTTGCTCGGTGTTAATGACCATCTTATACGGCTGTCCGCTGAGGAACGTCAGGTGGCAATTGAAACGCAGGTTAGTATTCTTCAACCCTACGTTAGAGCTTTTTATACTGCTTTCTAAAATTTTGTGTTTTATGTCACACTCTTCATCCCGAGAATATTACTTCACATGGCATGTCAAGGGGACAAATGATATTTCTGATTTATCAACAAAAAAAAAACGGATGATCATATAAAACCCTTTAGCCAAATGCCACCGAATGCGCCTCTTGCAATATTTTGTTAAGAGATACGCTACATCGTCTGAAAAGCCTTTTATGTCCGGTCTAGTTTAAGCAAGGAATTTGTTTAATGGTTTGTGGTTATAGCCACTTTAAATAATCCAGGAGGCGGATTAATATTATCACTCTACTTGCTTCGTGGCGTGTTCCTAGGCGTTTCTATCGACTAACGCCAGACCTCATCGGATGTAGAGTGATTTTAAAATGCTCGGGAATCGCGCACCCTCTTCGTTTCTTAGGCTGTCACTGACGTTGGCATCTCAAGAAACGCAGTACGTGGCTCATTATGTTTGCCTTTCTTGCATCGTGATTGGTTCTTCGCCATCAATACTGCCTAATACCGCAATTTCATTGACTACAGAGGGAACGCAAGATGCTCGTGCCTTGTCATGCCCTGCGCTTCTTAAAGGCCGACGTACACTTCACGCTTTCCACTTTTGCTAGCCTCCTCCTTTCCTATATCCTCTCCGCTTTTTACCCTGCCGCGACTTGGCTCCCCTCGCAGCACAGGAGAGAGAAAGCGCTACGAGGATTATCTTCCCTGCAGAAAACCGAGCAAAACGCCGAACGCGCTCGACGAGCACAGTGGACACAAAGGCAGCTATAGCATTATGTCTACCCACTAATCATTGCAACCAGAGCTCGGCGCTCTTGCGTCCCTGTAGCCTCCTCCTCTCCCTCAGTTTCTCGCCGCACATAGATTCCGGATTAGGTGTTTTCCGCCTCGTGCTATCAGGCTTATCGTCGTTCACTTAATGACAGTCACTATACGGAGAGATAGATACTGAGAGAGAGAGTAAGAGATCAGAGCGTGCGGGGGCGTCAGATCCCAGATCTCTAATTGGAAGGATTAGTGTTTAGACGCAAAAGCTATAGCTACATTTGTCTGCGCTCACTGCCTCACTTTAATCAGAGTGAACAAGAGTATCGTCTCCTCTTCGTGCAGTCTGGCGTTCGTGCAGGCTGGACGCCGAAGTTCGGTGTTCGAACGCTTTATAATAGTTAGTAGAAACACAGGCAGCTAGCCTTTTCGTCTACCACTCTTCTCCTGTTGAGAGTTCAGCCCTCTGACCATCCTTCGCCGCCGCCCTCATCTCCAACTTTTCATCCGTTTCTCACCGCATACGACCAGCCCTTGGCGGCAGCTTTGAGTGGCCTCTGCTTGCGATGATAAGGCACATAAAATCAGCTGGTGATATTGTTATGCATGAAATCTTTGCAGTCAAATATGACTAGCCTCATGAGTGGCATGTTTGAGTATAGGTTACGACAAAATATATTCAAACGATCTTGTAACAAATAGAACTCGTTGTTCGTAGCCTATCCAGCGCTAGCGCAGGCCAGATCCTATACATGCCGCCCCTTGTAAGAAGATAATGTGAACAAGGTCTTCTGAATGTCACAATTCCCGATTAAGGAGGACCCTTGCGATTGTTTTCTCCTACCATTTACACCGACGTTGGAAAACACCATGTTTTCCGGCCGGTAGAGTCCTTCTTTCTTGCAAAGAAAGTTTTTGATTGATTCAAAGTCGTTGAGCACAACCACGTCAACGACGCCCACCTTGATCCTAAAAAGAGAAACACTGTTTTCAAAATGTTGATTCTTCCAAATGATATGTTCCCCACACGGTCACTGAAGCCTTTTTTTTTCTATATTTTTTATGCTCTCTAAAGAGGAACTGGTTGAGATATGCAGTTGAATGAGCCGTGCTTATAAAATTTAAATAAAGTTTATAATAAGGTGTCAAAACACAAAATGTGACAAAATCTTGTCTTTTGGTGGTGTGGTGTTATGGGTTTGGCCAGATTACTGAATGAAGAAATCGGGAAACACTGCTGACATTTGAGAAAATAATATATTCAACAAAAAGAAAAATAAAACACCGAACTAACAGTATAGACCTTTTCATTTCAGTAGTTGCTTGACC